CTTAATTTTAATAAACTTCGATTTCATACTGGTATTTCGCATTCATAGTGGTGATAAATGTTTATTTACGTAGAATTTTATGTCCTGCGCACTGACTNTTTAATAAACTTCGATTTCATACTGGTATTTCGCATTCGTAGTGATGATATATGTTTATTTACGTAGAATTTTATGTCCTACGCACTGATTATCATCCATACCCATCACTTCTTTCCTGTTTCGACCACTAGTTTAACTAATTAGAGTTTCCTAACTTGTTGTACCAGTCTTCGCTTCGTACGCAAACGTGACTTTCACATGGTTGATAAATATTTCATGCAAAATTTCAAGCTTCAAGCACTTANAAAGAGCATAAAATAAATCTATTACATTATAATTTTAGCAAAAATTACTTCTAAATAAACTGACTCGGTGAATATACCATAGTGATGCAATATATATTTTCTTCAAATTAAAAAGAAATTATAAATTTTCTTTATTGTGTTAAAGAATTAAGAAAATATATAAGTACTATAATAATTGAAAATAATAAAAATATTTTATTATAGTCGTATCTTGATCGTACATATATCCTTCTTTTTTAGATTTTGTCGTATCGCCGTATCTATATCGTATCATACCCGTATCCCATTTTCGTATCCGTGTTTCTTAGCTTGCCACCAATTTTTCTATTCCCCATGGAAAGTAGTGTGCTTTATATAATATAATTGTTTATAAAAAGATAAATTTAAATATTTTTTGTAGTAGAGTAAATAAATATTCTTTTTTTATTTTGACGAAATTACCTTTTTCTAGCCAAAAAAGACTTAAAAACTGAACTAGGAACAGAGACTAGTTCAAGTTGGAAGCTCCCAAGCACCAGCCTTGCATGATAAGGTTACTAGGAACACTGGTGTCAGGGTTGTTCTGTCTGGAATACTTTGTTCATCCTTTTGCACCTTTTACAGAATTTGTCTTTCTNGTGTCAGGGTTGTTCTGTCTGGAATACTTTGTTCATCCTTTTGCACCTTTTACAGAATTTGTCTTTCTTTTGCTTATTCGTTATAGTAGTAGTATTATTGTCATGTACTAGAATTTTTTATCATCATACTGAAATAACATGTATTGGGTTCATATTCCAAAAACGATCTCTTTAAAATAGAATTTAGAATTAATTTTTTATTTCTTTCTATTAAACTCTCATAGTTGAGACTTTTGTGATGAGTTTGTTTTTATATTTGGATACTACCATTTTGTGAGAAAATTTCACTCATAAGCACAGCAAAACGTGGTATTCCACCATAGTCTTGACAACAACCACAAAGACGTGGTATTCCATAGTCAAGGTCTTCTCAATAAGTCAATGACAGCTATTTTTTAACTTATTAGCAAAGTGGTCCAATGTTTGTGGAAAACAATGAAACACGCATCGCTTTGGGCCACCAAACAGATTAAATTTGAATCAAATTTTGGTGAGCCAGGNCAAGGTTTGTGGAAAACAATGAAACATGCATCGCTCTAGCCCAACAAACAGATTAAATTTGAGTCAAATTTTTGGCTCACCAGAGTTCAAATTTAATATGAAAACTTTCACCCAAAAATTGGACGAATTTAATTTTTTCAATCCATACTAGAATTCGATAAATGTTAAAAATTGAATCCTAAGACCTAGCCCAGTATCCGATCAAGTTCAATCTAAATTTACTAATTAAACCCAAATTTTAACAAATTATATCCTAATTCTAACTTATTCAGATCAATTCAAAATCAGATTCTATCATAAATTAATCGAACGTTGGTATATATGATATTCCACAAATTTAGATTTGACTAGTTGAGTAAAAATGCATACCAATCGATATTTGACTAATAAGGTTTGAGTCAAAATGCGATCCATTAATAGATTTATATGAACCATTTTTCGATCCAAAAACTTCCAACCATTCCCAACTCTCTCTACATTCTACCAATATGAAAATGGTTAGGTTTGGAAGGAAAAAAGAAAAAAAGAATCAATGGGTAAGAAAAATGACTTGTCTTCTAAAATTATGGTGTTAATCAAATTGAGTCTATCGAACTTTGGTATATTCAAGCTCAATTTGCTAACTTGATAATATCTCAAGGTGCTAATTATTTATGTACTACATGCTCGAATTCAAGTATAAACTGGAGTAAATTAAAAAACCACACATTAAATAATTCTTGAAACATCTAATCTAGTTAGTTGAGAGTATTATTTTATCATTTTTTATCACCAAAATCTACATGTTACAAGAATCAAATTTTGAGAAAGAAGGTTTAAGAAGTCTTTCCTTCTCATCATTCTACCTCATCCTATGTAACCACCCCCTCCACCCCCAAAATAAACTATCAATTGCTAGATTTTTATAAAAAAATTATTTGAATCACCACGCAATTTAATGTCACTCTCGATTCCAATTTCTAAGTGACAAGATTGGAAAAGGGGAATGGGTGAGGAAGGGGTAATAAATCTCGTCCATTGTACGAGTGTCATTACTATTTATATATTTGAAATAAATCGAGCTTAAACCGAGGGATACGCCAATTTTACAATTCAAGTGAGTTTAAACTAGTTTTACGCTAATGGCTCTATCCAAAATATGTTCCAAGGAAGAAGATATCATACATCGAATATTCATGTACAAGAAAAATCAAATGGCCACGACGCCAGGAAAAAAAAACTAGTTGGACATGAACTTGATTGACGCAAATTAGAATTTTTCTCTGAATCAACCTTTTGGAAACAGTTCAAAGGTGATGTGAAGCAAAGGGGACAGACACAAAGTTGTTTTCTCTTTTCAGTCTAATAAAGTCTTTTGTTGGAAATTTCACAAAAGCAAGCCTGTTTTTACATTGGACTACACACAAAAAAACAATAAAAATAAGATTAGTAGTTAGGCTAAAAAGGTTAGTAGTTAGATTAAAAGTTTGGATTAATAATAAATAAAAAATAATAATCCAATGCACGAGCAATGTAAAAGAATGTGCAGAGAAGGTTAGATGTAAGTATCTTTAACCCTAATAGTTTAACCAGCAAAGCAAGATCAAGGCTATAGTTTAGGTATAATTTAGTCTTTTTTAAGATGATTAATGTTCTTATGTATACTTTTCGGAGTGTTCTTATGTATAATGTTCATTATCTAAGTTATTACAACCCCAATTAGAAATGAGAAAACAACTTGACTCCCCGAAAAAATAAATTTATTACAAAACTTCTAAATGAGTTGGTGAAAATAAATGCAAATAATATCAAATTTTAAAGCAAATATGTAGTGATCTTTTTCCGTGTATTGTATATGATCCTTAGTACTACTTGAACGGGCAGACTCTAACCAATCTATAAATCTCCTCACCCTTCTTGTGCAGCAGTCTATATCGCTCCCTGGTCAAGTCATGCAAGTGCTATCGGCCACCCGTTTGGGTGTCTTCTCAATCACTCATCACATACAGCTTTATAAATTCGTCCATTTTTGCGCTTTGTAAGTGATTGATTGGAAGATTGGAGGGAAATGGACAACGACACCGGCTTCCCCACTCTATACAGCATAAACTTGACCTTAAACTTTCAAGTCTTTGTAGCATCCAAATCACCCAAAACAAAATGATGGATATTTTTTTGTTCCTTTTAGTGGAACTCAAAAATTCACCAAAGGCGACCGAACACTTGACAAGCAATTTTCCGACTCCTCCTCTAGAGACTTTGTATAGTGAATAGCATTAAATTATAATTTTTAAAAGAAAATTCAAGTTACTATTTGATAATTCTATTTTAAAGTTTTTTTTTCAATTTTTGAATATTGTTTCTTTTATTATTTTTGTCCGAGTTTTCAGTTCCATTGAAATTTCATGTTTATGGTAGTCTGTATGCATTTGCCCNCAATTTTTGAATATTGTTTCTTTTATTATTTTTGTCTGAGCTTTCAGTTCCATTGAAATTTCATGTTTATGGTAGTCTGTATGCATTTGCCCCACACTAACTATCAGTTTCTATTCTTTGTTACATGATGATTCTTCGTAAGTGTCATTTCTTTCGTACTTCGACTACAAGTTTAACGAATCATAGCTTTTTAATTTTAATAAACTTCGATTTTATACTGATATTTCGCATTCATAGTGATGATATATGTTTATTTACGTAGAATTTTATGTCCTACGCACCGATTATCATCTATACACATCACTTCTTTCCCGTTTCGAATTTTTTGCATAATTCAGGAGAGTGAGACAATTTATCAATTTTATTTTCCTAATTAATTTCTCATGCCATCATTGACAAGACAAGACAAACACTTTTTTATATGCAACATTCAATCAACCTTGAAGGTTTATTATATCACTATAACAATGAATTATAAATGAATCGCTAAAAAAAGAATCCCAAAAAAAAAAAAAACTGAATGGAGCTCCAAAGAAAGATATTGTAGAGATCAATACNCTGAATAGAGCTCCAAAGAAAGATATTGTAGAGATCAATACTTATCTCTATTTTAAATTGATCCCTGACTAATTAATTGGGACACTCATGGGTGATCAACTTAGTTTGGCCGCGTTTATTGACAAGAAAAACATTTGATAACAACTTCTTTGTACACAGAAAATGTAGCATTAACATTAATTGATCGAAAGTATTTTAATAAAACTAAGTGTGTCTAATTTGGGGATGTAATTTAGCCATATANAACTAAGTGTGTCTAATTTCGGGATGTAATTTAGCCATATAAATTGTTCATACCGTCGCATTTGGAGTGGACATTTTTCAGCATTAGGATGTACTGTTAATCAAATACTGAATGTATTAGGCCCCTAATTGCATTCCCAAATTAAATTCATAGCAGCGATATTTTTTGTATGAACGCGTTCTCGTTTTCTTTCAACCCGAAAAGTAACCATAAACTATTTAGTTGTTGGTCTTTTTAAATTTATTCCAAAATCTCCTTCTATAAATAGCGACACTAAAAACATTGCAGCCATCCTTCTTTCTTTCCCTCTTCCGAACCCATATGATGGTAGCCATGGATTATTTCCTTGGTCTAATGATACTAATTTTCTCTCTTCAGCCTTTGTCATACATTGTTGAAGCTAAAATCAGTGGCTTCAGCGTTGAACTAATTCATCGTGACTCCAAACTATCTCCGTTCTATAATCATNTTCAGCCTTTGTCATACATTGTTGAAGCTAAAATCAGTGGCTTCAGCGTTGAACTAATTCATCGTGACTCCAAACTATCTCCGTTCTATAATCATTCTGCCACTCCTGGAGAGTTGTCAAGCTATGATGTTTTGCGATCCATTGCCCGAATCAACCACTTTCGTCCATCATCTGTTGATGGAGAAANTTTGAATATTGTTTCTTTTATTATTTTTGTCCGAGTTTTCAGTTCCATTGAAATTGCATGTTTATGGTAGTCTGTATGCATTTGCCCCACACTAACTATCAGTTTATNTTTTTCAATTTTTGAATATTGTTTCTTTTATTATTTTTGTCCGAGTTTTCAGTTCCATTGAAATTTCATGTTTATGGTAGTCTGTATGCATTTGCCCCACACTAACTATCAGTTTGTATTCTTTGTTACATGATGATTCTTCGTAAGTGTCATCTCTTTCGTACTTCGACTACAAGTTTAACTAATCATAGCTTCTTAATTTTAATAAACTTCTATTTCATACTAGTATTTCGCATTCATAGTGGTGATATATGTTTATTTACGTAGAATTTTATGTCTAATGCACCGATTATCATCTATACCCATCACTTCTTTCCCGTTTCGAATTTTTTGCATAATTCAGGAGAGTGAGACAATTTATCAATTTTATTTTCCTAATTAATTTCTCATGCCATCATTGACAAGACAAGACAAACACTTTTTTATATGCAACATTCAATCAACCTTGAAGGTTTATTATATCACTATAACAATGAATTATAAATGAATCGCTAAAAAAAGAATCCCAAAAAAAAAAAACTGAATAGAGCTCCAAAGAAAGATATTGTAGAGATCAATACTTATCTCTATTTTAAATTGATCCCTGACTAATTAATTGGGACACTCATGGGTGATCAACTTAGTTTGGCCGCGTTTATTGACAAGAAAAACATTTGATAACAACTTCTTTGTACACAGAAAATGTAGCATTAACATTAATTGATCGAAAGTATTTTAATAAAACTAAGTGTGTCTAATTTGGGGATGTAATTTAGCCATATAAATTGTTCATACCGTCGCATTTGGAGTGGACATTTTTCAGCATTAGGATGTACTGTTAATCAAATACTGAATGTATTAGGCCCCTAATTGCATTCCCAAATTAAATTCATAGCAGCGATATTTTTTGTATGAACGCGTTCTCGTTTTCTTTCAACCCGAAAAGTAACCATAAACTATTTAGTTGTTGGTCTTTTTAAATTTATTCCAAAATCTCCTTCTATAAATAGCGACACTAAAAACATTGCAGCCATCCTTCTTTCTTTCCCTCTTCCGAACCCATATGATGGTAGCCATGGATTATTTCCTTGGTCTAATGATACTAATTTTCTCTCTTCAGCCTTTGTCATACATTGTTGAAGCTAAAATCAGTGGCTTCAGCGTTGAACTAATTCATCGTGACTCCAAACTATCTCCGTTCTATAATCATTCTGCCACTCCTGGAGAGTTGTCAAGCTATGATGTTTTGCGATCCATTGCCCGAATCAACCACTTTCGTCCATCATCTGTTGATGGAGAAAAAATTGAGTCTGTGATAATTCCAAATGGTGGTAACTATCTCATGAAAATTTCTATTGGCAACCCACCAGTTGAAAGCCTAGCCATTGCTGACACAGGAAGTGATCTTGTGTGGATCCAGTGCGCACCTTGTGACAATTGCTATCCTCAAGATAGTCCCATCTTTGATCCGGTGAAGTCTTCTACTTACATGGATCTTCCTTGTGACTCAAGTTCTTGTCAAGCTCTACCAAGGTCTCAATGTGGCAACACAAATAATGACTGCCAATATAGATATCGTTATGGAGACAGATCATATACCATTGGAGTCCTATCCACAGATACCTTCACATTTGATTCCACGAATGCTCAGGCCACTGCATTTCCAAATTCTGTATTTGGATGTGGACACAACAATGCTGGAACTTTCACTAGGCGTGGCTCCGGACTTGTCGGTCTCGGGGGTGGACCTCTGTCACTGATTTCTCAATTGAGTGCTGAAATAGAGCAGAAATTCTCGTACTGTTTGCTGCCGAGGACAGCGAACTCCGCCAGTAAATTGAAATTTGGCAAAGACGCAATTATATCTGGTGAATTTGTTTCAACTCCTATATCACAGCCACGGGACTCGAGTTCAAACACTTTCTACTCTCTCACCCTTCAAGCCGTAAGCATAGGGAGCAATAGCATACCATACAATCAGATGGAGGGTAATATAATTATTGATTCAGGAACAACATTGACTATGTTGGAGTCAAATTTTTACAGTGAACTTGAAGCTGCGGTGAAAGAAATAATTAATCTAAACACAGTACAAGATCCACGGGGAAACTTCAGATTGTGTTATGATTCAACTTCCTTCAGTACGGCTCCTGAGACACCAATAATATTCCAATTTACTGGAGCTGACATTACTTTGAAGACAATTAATACCTTCGTAGTTTTGGATGGTATTACTTGCTTGGCAATCATCCCTTCAAATGATCTCAATATCTTTGGTAACATTGCTCAGATTAACTTCCAAGTGGGCTACGACCTTGCAAAAAAGCAAGTCTCTTTCGCTCCAGCAGATTGTACTCAATATTAGTGGCCATGTCATGCGTATGCATTAAGTTTCTTTTATTCATATTGTCTGGAAAATAAAGAGAGATTATGTAGTTGTTTTCCCAATGCAATGTTAGCGGTTGGTCATATAATATTGAGTAATACTATTTGGTTTGCAAATGTGTCCTCTCTCTCTCTATATATATATATATATATTTGTTTTAAAAGAATTACATTATTGTACTACCATATAGTTCAAAATAATTTTACATATCCGTAATTAGAATTCAGTAACTAGTAGTTGAGTAAGGTTTAAACTGCATATTCATTCCACACACATGCAATTGTTGAAAGGAAATGCACATTTGTATACTCTAGAATAGCATTTCAATCTAAGATGAAACTCGTGTGTGATTGATTTGGATATTTGAAAAGTTGTGCTAGGCAACCTAGAGTTAGTAGGATAAGGGAATATTGCTCAAATTTTAGATATGGGAAAGAAAGAGGATTATCCTTTTTACTGTAATTTGTGCTTTACATATTGGGTATTCATTTTGTTGAATTTAGAATTCCATGTCATGTGTTTTGAAAGCATAAAGACTCAAATCGCATTGCAATTTTGTAAATGAATTTGGGCATAATCGTACAGTGTGGTTCACTAGCATGGATCATGTTTTTGAGTAGTTGAGTTAGGAAATAAGTCATTAGAATGCATTGGAGTCGAATAAACTGGGAATGAGAATGAGAAAATAGGATTTGTTGCAAAAAGTTGAGCCATCTACCGGTAGAAGACTCATTACCTTCCAATAGCTCATAGCAAAATGGTTAGAACAACAAAAGGGGAAAACAACCGGTAGAATACTCAAGACCTACCAGTAGTAGTTTTCCAGAAGGGTAATCTACCGGTAGCAGTTTTCCAAAATTGTCAACTATCGGTACTGTTGTCCGAATTTGATATTGACAATTTACGTGCAAGTATACACGATCAACAAGTAATAAAGTGATAAATAGAGTATCGTTCCCATGGAGAAATATTGCTAATAATATTCAAGTACTAATTTTGTATCAATTTAATTTTATTTAAACAATTGGAATTGAACTATGGAATGACTAAATTAAAACTAAATCNTGCAAGTATACACGATCAACAAGTAATAAAGTGATAAGTAGAGTATCGTTCCCATGGAAAAATATTGTTAATAATATCCAAGTACTAATTTTGTATCAATTTAATTTTATTTAAACAATTGGAATTGAACTATGGAATGACTAAATTAAAACTAAATCTAAACTTAACAATCAAAAGTTGAATTTAACGGATAAAAAAACTTAAGATTACAACTTCCCCTAATGCTTCGTATAAATCTTTCTAACTCTCTTTCCAGTTAATTAATCAAAATAAGTTGTTAACTGAGAACTCAAAGTTATTTATCAAACTTCTTCCGATATTTAGATAAAATTATCGCTCTCAATTAAATTACTATATTCCTATGCAAAATAAGTTGGAATAGATTCATTAAGTTCAAACTTTCATAAAAGTTACACACGGCATATAGGTGTATTCCTATCCTATACACAAATCGGCAATTCAACCCTAAGAAGAATTAATCAGACGTATGTCATCATATTCAGATGTAAACCTAGAATTCATATCCCAATTTCATCTAGGTTATCAAACTAATTGTTGGCCACACAATTATACATCAATCACAAAATATGACAAATATGAATAACTCATATAAGATCAATAAGAACTAGAAACGAGAGTATATTAATTTAACTAGACATAGGTTCCGTTGCATTCTTAATAAAAATTTAGTTCATAATGTAATTGAAAGACATCATTCTAAAATTGAATAACATCTTAGAAAATCAAGAAGTAAAGGTAAGAGAAAAAAATGAAAATTTAGGTGCAATCTTCAATCCTTCTCTAGCCTTCAAGACCAATCTTCTTCGTGTCGATTCCTTCAATTCTTGTCTTCAATTCTTGTCTTCAATTTTCTTCCAATTCCTTGTATTTTCTCCAATGTTTTCAGCCCCCAAAAGTCAAAATATATCATCCCCACACAAACCCTAGCATATATGTAGCTTTAGAGTCCAACTTCGGGTCAAAAACAAAGAAAATTTGCGTCACAGACTAACACAAGCGCCTAGGTGCTTGAAAGGCACTGGAAAAGCATTGTATGGACAGAAAGTTGGCACCTAGGCACTAGAAATGGCGCCTAGGCGCGCCCCCCTATGTAAGCCTACTTCGGACCAATTTTCGTAGAATCATCATAACTTTTGATACAACCGTCCGATTGAGCTAAAATTTTGCAACAAGATAGAAGACATTCAGATCTACAACTTTCATGTTTTACACCTTGTCAGATTCGAAGTGAGTTATGTTTAAAAATGTGGAAAATCGAGGTACTGGTACAAAATAGTGTGGGTGTTGATGCCTATGTTACCAAACACCAATACCTCATTGATTTCTTTCACTTTTAAACCTCCAAATCCTCATGGAATGCGNTTACCAAACACCAATACCTCCTTGATTTGTTTCACTTTTAAGCCTCCAAATCCTCATGGAATGCGTCCATCTCTTCACCACTTATCCACACTTAGTTGCAAGGCTCTAAAATCCGTTATTTACGCTATAATTACTCCATTACAATGCCTTTTAACTTCTTCTTTAAAAATCTAACACTTAGGCTCCAATTTTGACCTTGTTTCCTCCCAATTGATCATGATTTCTTCCAAATGATCATCCCTACAAAATAACATCAAAACACACAAAAAGAGTAAAAATGAACATAAAATAATTGAAAATTTATAATTTTATTAAGCCGAAAGTACTCAATTCATAGGTATAAAACCCATTCGTCAGGTAGTAGACCCACGAGCAACTGGTAGCTCGTGCCCAAANTAACATCAAAACACACAAAAAAAGTAAAAATGAACATAAAATAATTGAAAATTTATAATTTTATTAAGCCGAAAGTACTCAATTCATATGTATAAAACCCATTCATCAGGTAGTAGACCCACGAGCAACTGGTAGCTCGTGCCCAGAATCCCAAAAATGAGGGTTTTAAAACCAAATTTTTTGGAAAACCCTTTATCTCCTTCATTGATCTCTCCCTCAAAAACATTCTCTCCTCTCTCAAAATCCTCCAAACATTTAAAGAAACCCTGGGCATCCGTCAAACTCAACAATTTTCTCCCTCAAGTTCTTGATTCCCCATCATTTCCTCAAATTCTTTTCCCCCAAAAACCCTATTTTCTCCATAAAGCATCACCAATTCCACCTAAAGCTGTGATCTCTTCTCAAAGCTTGGGTTTTTGGCACAATGGCTAGAATGGGTAAGTCTCCACCTTCATCTTTTGGCCTTTTTGAGTTGTTTTGAGGGTGGTTGTTGATGTTCTTTGCCCTAGCTACATTTTTTATTATGATGGTCCTCACCAAACAGACGGCCCTAATCTCACCACCTAAAGCGGGAACCGGGTCCCCCAAGAGGGCTGAAGAGTCGGGCCCCAATAGTGGGGAGCAAAGGAAGAAAAAGAGGAATGACTCTCGCACGGAGAGCATTAAAGCTAAGTGTGTGACGTGCGAGCGGCAAGTGGATAGGCCAACCCTCGAGCCAGACGATAATGTGGTCCGAATGATTGAGGGCCATGGCCTATACGTTTGGTTTGAGGCGGTGGAGGGTATGTGCTTCCCCTTTGTCGAAAATTTTACCAAAGGTTAGGAATGACGGATAAAGATCTATGTCTGTTGAAGACAAATGTGAAGGGGAAGGTGATTGAGGTCACCCCGGTAGTCATCGCTAAGGCATTAAAGTATTATAGGCCTGCTGTCAACACCTCTGTCTTTCCTTATAACACCCCATAGAGTTAGTCATTCCAAGAGTATGCTAGCCTGATGTATGCGGACCCTCCGCAGTTCAATGGGAAGATTCAAGTTAGAGCACTCAAACATTCCTATGGGGTGATGAATAAAGTACTGCATTATAACTTTTTGCCTATGGGTGCGGAGAAGACACCAAGGGGAGGAAAAATTAGCCCTCCTCTATACATTCATGGCTGGCACCAGAATGGACATAGCCTTGATAATCTAGGAGGTGATGAAAGACTATACCCAGGCTATGAAGCCAAGGGCGAACCTTCCTTACGCCCACCTTGTCACAAAGATGTGTTGCCATGCCAACGTTAAGGGCATTGATAAGCACGAAATATTGTATATTAATGAGGTTTCAGTCTTTTTGCTGGTAAAAGAGCTTAAATGGTGCATGTTAGGCCCCTATTATATTGCTTAGGGTCAATGGAGAGAAAGGGGAGGCTTGACAATGGCTTGGAAAGTGAAAGAACCAAGAATTGACATATGTGATACTTCGGCATAAGATAAACTTCTATGATGTGCTCATATATTCGAAGTTAAAAGCAAAGATCTATACTATCACTAAGCCCATACACTTTGAATAGGGAAATATAGTTCAACATTAAGATATTTTTCACATATTTTTCCAACTATTCTAGGAAAATTTTGGTAGACTGTGTGAATGGTAAATTTCACTACAAAAATGTATCATCAACAAAAAAATTGGTATATCATACAAATGGTGCACCTCACCCCCCCCCCCAACTTAAACTATGCATTGTCCTCAATGCAACAAAAAGCTATGGAATGCAATGATGGACTTAAAAAGATAAGTAGTGTTAGAGAACACCTCGCAATGAGCTTTGACAAAAACACCACAATCTACACATTTGAAACGATAACACTATGCACATACAAAAATAAGTAAACAAATTAACTTACAAAGTAAAGGATAAAAGAAAGCGACTGTACACTAAATCTAATTGAACAATTATTTCTCAACAAGGTTCGGGTAAACCGAATCCACCAACTCTGCCTCCATAGTTTGAATCTCAAAACCCTCGAAGATTGGTTTAAGTATTTGGGCATTGACCTTGAATGTTTTACCATCTTCGGGGTTTGTTATTTCCACGGCTCCATTAGGGGTAGGCCATTTTGATAATATAGGGGGTCGTCCTAACGTG